GTGGACTCCCCAAGAGGGGTGCTCACCACATGCCTAAATGTAGGTCCTCTGGGATGAGTGACTCCCAAACGGGAGAGGGAGAAGATGGGGGTTGAGAAAGGCCAAACCCAGCAAAAGACCTGCGGTTTGGCCTCAGACTTGAAAATGCTGCGATCCTTCCCTCCTCCCTGCATCTGTACTTTGGGCCTCTTGCTAATTCCTAATGTCTGCATTTCTCTCTGTCCTCCTTCATAGTACTTGGAAAAGCATGGTCTATTTTCTTAGTCATGTCAGAACCAGCCTGAGTTTTAGTGATCAACTATCTTGTTGGCTGGTGGGCCCCCCTCCCCCATGTTTTGTTAACATCTGCTTTTACGTTTATTAAATCCACTTGCTCCTTGGGCTTATTTTGTTGTAATTTTCTCAGCTTCTTCCTTCAAAAGCTTCATGAATATATCTTTCAGGGCTTTTTGGGGGTGGGGGATTGCTGAGAGAAAGCTGTTATTTTCACCTGATTACCTCCTTGACTCTGTCACACGTTTTTTTCATGTGGACCTTTTCTTCTCATTCAATTCCAAATAGGTGGTTAGTTCCATCTTATTTCTTCTTCATATCAATGAGCTTAGATGTGTATTTTAAATTCTTACATGTACAGTCTGGTTTGTGTGCTGTTGATGAGGATTATTTTACTTCTCTGAATGAAAAAAATATGTGGTAAGAAAAAGCGCGTCACCAATGAAAAGAACAAGAAGACACAGCCGCTGCTCGGCACAGCCCCTCTGCCCAGGTGTGCCGAAAAAGGGTGAAATGAAGCCCGCATCTTTGTCCTCTTCCCCTCCTAGCACAGTGGCTACAGGAATATTGTTGTTGTTGTTGTTGTTTTGCTTTGTTTTGTTTTTTAAGAGAGGTTTTTTGCTATAGGGTCCATGTGCTCACCCACGAGACAGAGAGACAGAAGGTAAGAAATCACCCCCTGGGGAGGATGGCCACATCACAATCCCTTCTCTTACATTCTCCTCGTGGGACTTTGGGCACTCATGTACATGTGCCCGGGATGTTTTAAGCCACTGGGTCCAGGACTCGAACCATGATCGACTACGTGGGAGTCCAACAACATAACCAGTCTGACATCTGCTGGTCCCCGAGATTTGAGGGAAAGTGAACCTTTCCGAAGAGACAAATCTAGTACCATTTCCTCATTTTATAGATGAGTAAGGAAAGACTCATACTTCAGTTGTCTGCTGCTGTGTAACAAAATGCCCCCAAACATAGGGGCCTCTAATAGTCACCATTTGATTACGTCCAACAGTTCTCTGCATTGAATAGGCTCAGCTGGGTGGTTCTTCTGCCACTGTCACTTCAGATCTTTCATGAAACTGTGATCGGATGGTGGCTGCAGGTAGAATCATCTGGAGGCCCACAGAGGATGGTGGGATAGCTGGCCCTCTCTCCCTGTTTTTATCGTCTAAGGGTCTCTCCACCCACTTAATGTAACTGCAGTTTACGTAGACCAAGTTGACTTGGCTTGAGGAACGAGGAATTTTTTTGGCTCACATAACTGAAGATTAAGCTTCAGGCACTGCTAGACCCAGGAGTTCAAGCAATAATAGATGGACTCTGTTTCTTTTCATTAGGCCATTGGAAAAGTCATGGCTTTTTTTTTTTAATGTTTTTCTATGCAAAAATGCATCATGACTTTCCCGACAACCTGTTATTATCTTTGACTGCTTTTGTGTATGTTGGTTTCATTCTCATACAGGCCTTCTGCACAGCACCACCAATGGTCATTTTGTCTGTGCAATTGAGATCCTCAAAAATAGTATCCTTGGGACCAGCAGATGGCGTAATGGTATGTCACTGGACTCTCATGTGACCTACTGCAGTTCAAGTCCCATACCCGGCGACTTAAAACTCATGCCAGGCGCATCTGCGTGCATGGCCAAGATCCTGAGAGGAGAATGGAAGAGAAGGGATGGTGGGATAGCCATCCCCCAGGGAATGATTTCTTGCTTTCTGTCTTTCTGTCTCTCCAGCAAGCGCATGAGCCCCATAGCAAAAACCTCTGTTTGAATCAACGACAAAATAGCATCCTTTTGCCCTCATTCTATGGGTAGTAATTCTTTGAATGACCCAGACTGGTCCATCCCTAGTGGAGGTGAGGGGCAAGGGACTGAAAGATTCACCCACAGGGAAAGGGCTCTTCCCCAAAGGAAAATATTCCAGAGAGATAGAAAAAGTAATGGAAGGTCACTATTTCCAGAATTTTCTCTCCCTTGAAGGTTTGTCCACCTGGAATCAGTTGAAAACTGGTGCACGTGAACTGCTTTCTGAGATGTGCTTTATCTGACCCAAATGATATTTTACTATATTCTTGGAAAATCATTTTAAAATCAGGAGAAGCTCAGGGAAAAAATAATATGAATTTCTGGTTTCTCTTAAAATAAATTAGACCTAGCAGCTCTTTGTGTTTTCTAATTTCCTTATGTAAAATAGTGTTGGGACCAGCAGATGGCATAATGGCAACGTGGCTGGACTTCCATGTAGTCAACTTTGGTTCGAGTCCCGGACCTGGTGGCTTAAGCTCATGCTGGGCGTGTATGTATGCGTGCCCAATATCTCAAGAAGAGAACGGAGGAGAAGGGATTGCAGCATGGCCATCTCCCTTGGGGGGTGATTTCTTGCTTTCTGTCTCTCTGTCTTTCTGTCTTTCTGGCGAACACACAAGCCCTATAGCAAAAAAAGAAAAAAAGAAAAAAAAAATCTCAAAAAAAAATTGGGTTAATAATAATACCTACCTCCTTGGGTTGTTGCAAGGATTACATGAAAGAATGTGTTCAAAGTGTCTTAAATTACACCCAACAAGGAGGGAACACTCATGAAATGGCAGCTACTCTTAACGATTTGCCAGAAATGACATATGTGGATGTATTAAGACTTTAGATGGGGCATGAGCTTTAGACTCTGCATTATGACTTTAGATGGGGCATGAGCTCTCCAATTTGTCCCAGTCCCCACCATTTCTTATGGTCTCACACATAGCTCATTCCATTCACTTATGTTAAATGGCAGCTCCCTGCTCTACGCTATTTCTTCTTCAATCTAAGTCACTGCTATCATCCCCACCGTTGTACTGGCCTCCTAGCCTAGGTTCTCTCTCGCTCCCTATATCATTTGGATTTGATTGCTAGGAATAGAGACTGGGAATAGCATAGTTTAAGTTAGAAATTGGGGGATTTTTTTTCTTTATCACATAAAAAAACTGTAGAGATTGACAATCTATTATTGCCATAACAGACATACTGACATCAGGGACCTTGGCTCCTTCTATATATCCACTCCACTATGTCAGTATGTAGCTTGCATCCTTATGAGTACCCTATTTACCCCATGTTCCAAGATGGCTGTTGGAGCTCCAGCTGTCACATTTGCATTCCAGGCAAGAAGAAAGAGAATAAGAAGGAAGAGGGAAAATATGCTAGCTAGCTGGCTGTCTGCCTCCCCACTCCCTTCTTGGAGAATTTTCCTTAGAGTCCCACCAAAAAAAGTCCTTCTTCTGTCTTATTAGCCATGTAAAGCTGGAGGAGAGTCTGGGATGTGTGGTCTTCTAGCTGGAGCTAGTTCTGATACCGAGAAAGAGGGGTGAATGGAGATTGGGGGGGGGGGGGCAAAACTACCTAACTTGGCATCTCCATTCGAGAGCAAGAGTGATCTCTTCAAAATTCAAACCAGATCACCTCACTCCCAGCTCAAGCTATGAAAGTTGTCCATCCACTCAGAAGGACATTTATCATTGTCCTCGGGACCGATGAAGCCACACATGACCCAGCCCCGTCTACTTCTCCTGCCTTGCCGTCTCCTGCTGCTCTTACTCTGTGGCTCCAGCTGCTCTGGCCTCCTTGCAGCTCAGCACGGCAAGGAACAGCCTTCTCTCTCTGGTCAAGGACCTCTGCCACTTACTTACTGCGTGGCCATAAGAAAACTTCTTAACTTCTCTGTGTCTTGGATGGTGATGCGAATAATACATTCTTTGGCTGTCGTAAGCTTTAAATGAGAAGATACGAATAAAGCTCTTAAAACAGGGTCTGGCATTTAGTAAGTACTGTGTAATTTCCTGTTCGCACATACCGGAAGCTGTCCTACCTCAGGGCATTCGCACTTGGCATTCCCTCCGTCTCCACACTCTTCTCCTAGATTTTCCTATGGCTTTCACCCTCACTCCATCCAGATCTCTGCTCTACTGTCCCCTCTTCAGAGAGGCCTTAGCTGACTATCCTATTTAAAATAGTATTCCTTCATCACCTTCTATCTCCTTTTCCTGTCTTTTTTCTTAAAGAATTATTTATTTAACTTTATTTGTTATTATTGTTATTTTTATTCACCCGAGAGAGATAGTGAGGAAAAGTGAGAAAGCAAACCGCCAGGTCCGGGATTCGAACCATGGTCAGCATGTGTGAGTCCTCCGCCACCACGCCACCTGTTGACCTCCCATCTTATTTTTCATGACATCTGTGACCATCTGAAAGTATATTTTATGCTTATCATCTGCCTGTTTCTACTGGAATGTCAACACTAATGTCTGTGGGACTTCAAAATATTTGTGAAAAAAAATGGAATTAAATTATAAGTTTATTTTGATGTAAAAATTTTTTTAAATGCAGTTTTTTCATAATACGCACTTTCCATGAGCTCTTTGAAAACCCCTTATGTTGTCAGCCCCCAAGAGCACTGCCTAGCACGTGTTAATGCCAGGTAAATAAACCTGGATGGCTGTCGGATGGCGGCTAGGGAGGTGGCTAGAGGGCTGCGAAGCCAGGTGTGTATAAAGGCACGGAACCCGAAAGCGGGTGGATGAGGAGGTGGGCTGGTAGACAGAGGGGTCGACAGTGAATTAAGAGGTGACGAGTAGATGAATGACATGTGGATGGATGGACGGTGGAGAGGCTGACACATGGTGGGGGGTGGAGGGACAGATGCTGACGAGGAGCCACTCTGAACTCTGCCCCATCACTCTTGTTTTTCAGGCCGCCCGCGGCCCGTCCTGCCCCTGTGTGCCTCGGTGTCTTTGCTGGGTGGCCTGACCTTTGGCTATGAACTGGCAGTTATATCGGGAGCCTTGCTGCCTCTGCAGTTTGACTTTGGGCTAAGCTGCTTGGAGCAGGAGCTGCTGGTGGGCAGCCTGCTCCTGGGGGCTCTCCTTGCCGCCCTGGTGGGGGGCTTCCTCATCGACCGCTACGGCAGGAAGCAGGCCATCCTCGGGAGCAACGCGGTGCTGCTGGCTGGCAGCCTGGGTCTGGGCCTGGCCGGCTCTCTGGCCTGGCTGGTCCTGGGTCGCTCGGCGGTTGGCTTCGCCATCTCCCTCTCCTCCATGGCCTGCTGCATCTACGTGTCAGAACTGGTGGGGCCACGGCAGCGGGGAGTGCTGGTGGCCCTCTACGAGGCTGGCATCACAGTGGGCATCCTGCTCTCCTACGCCCTCAACTATGCACTGGCCAGTGCCCCAGGGGGCTGGAGGCACATGTTCGGCTGGGCCGCAGCACCTGCACTCTTGCAGTCTCTCGGCCTCTTCCTCCTCCCTGCTGCTGCAGAGGAGGTTGCGGCCCACAAGGACCTCATCCCACTCCAGGGAGGCGAGGCCACCACACTGGGCTTCGAGAGGCCCCGCTACTCCTTCCTGGACCTCTTCAGGGCCCGGGACAACATGCGAGGCCGGACCACAGTGGGCCTGGGGCTGGTGCTTTTCCAGCAGCTGACGGGGCAGCCCAACGTGCTGAGCTATGCCTCCACCATCTTCCGCTCCGTCGGCTTCCGTGGGGGGTCCTCAGCCGTGCTGGCCTCGGTGGGGCTGGGTGTGGTGAAGGTGGCAGCTACCCTGATGGCCATGGGGCTGGTGGACCGCGCGGGCCGCAGGGCCCTCCTGCTGGCTGGCTGTGCCCTCATGGCCCTGTCGGTCAGCGGCATAGGCCTCGTCAGCTTTGCCGTCCCCATGAACACAGGCCCGAGCTGCCTGGCTTTGCCCAATGGCACCAGGCACATGGGCCTCCCTGGAGACTTGGGCCAGCGGAAGGGCTCGTCTTCACCTCCAAGGCCAAGAGCCAGGGAGGACCCAAGACAGCCTGTCTCCTCCACTAAGAACACCCAGGCACAAACTGGAGCCGGGAACTTTACAGCGCCTGCCCAGCCAGCCCTGAGCACCGCCACCCTGGCACCCCTTCTTCTTAGCCCGGGGCACACGCTCCTGCGCTGGATGTCGCTGGCCTGCTTGATGGTCTTCGTGAGCGCCTTCTCCTTCGGATTTGGACCAGGTTAGTTAGGCTTTCTTGCAGGTAAATGGAACCTTCTGGCCCTCTTGGTGTGAAGGGGGGGCGTATGAGTTAGGGTCCCAGTGCTGGACTAGCGGGTGCTGATCCTGAGGCCCCAGGGCTCCTTGTACTTGCTCCTTCCAGGACCAGATCTCACTTTATGTTTACAATTTTTTTTTTCCTTATAAAGGTCCCCAGATCCTTTAAGCCTCAGGCTTCAGAAAATCCTGATCTGTTCCTGGGTAGCTCAACCCAAAGGGTGGACTCGACAGGAATTTAATGAGTAGGGTGAAAGGCAGCCATCCCGGTTCCCCGGGGGGTGCCCTGGTGTCAGCCCTGGAGGTCTTGTGTCCCAGGAATACCTCATCTGGGACAAACTCAGACCATTGTCACCCTGAAAGGATTCTACAGTGGCATGGGGGGAGGGGCTGGGAGAACGTGGTGACAGGAGTCCGATTTCTGCTTCCATCGTGTTGTGAGGGCTGACGACCTGACTTGCTGGTGGCCGGCTTCAGGTCCAGCCTCAGTCCAGGACCCCCCTGCCATCCCTCCTAGTGACCTGGCTTGTCCTCAGTGAGATCTACCCTGTGGAGATCCGAGGGAGAGCCTTCGCCTTCTGCAACAGCTTCAACTGGGCCGCCAACCTCGTCATCAGCCTCTCCTTTCTGGACCTCATCGGTGAGTCCTCTGACCTCATTCCTCGCCCAGTCCCTTCCGGATCCAGGGACAATCTCTCTGGACAGAGCTTCTGAATCCTTGGGCTTAGAAATGTCCATTGCATATCAACGCATGAATGAAAGGGACTATTTTGTCTTAAATCTCTCAAAAGGGGAAGGTGGTTGGCTTCAAACATGGCTGATCCAGAGGCTCCAACGAAATTGTCACCCCCTTTCACGCTCTCAGTTCTGCCTCTCACCCTGCAGGCTTCATTCCCACGCAGGCCTGCCTGGCTCTTGGCAGCCCAGAAGGAGGGCATCTTCCCCAGGGCTCCAGCTCCCATCCTGGGACTGGCTCTCATTGGCCCAGCAAGATCACGTGCCCATCCCCAAACTCAGCCCTGTATGGCTGGAGGGTTGGCTGTTCTGATGGTCTCCCTGGAGGCAGGGGTGGAGCGCAGAGTGGGGAGGAGTGGCTCTCCAGAAATACGGGGTGCTTGTATCAGTAAAAGGGGGAGGAGATGCTGGGAGATGAAGACCATAGTCATTTTGCTACTGAGCTGGATGTCCTTTCCCCTCACTTTCAGTTCCAGATTCTGAGCATGCTCCACCTAGTGGTCCTAGATGTGGTGAGGGGTCCTTCCCATAGCAGCAAGCCACCCTGTGTCTGCTTGTGGACTCACGCCCTGGCTTTTTGATTTCTGCTTTTTTTTTTTTTTTATCAGCTCACTGGTCATTCTGCAAACCAACCATCTGAAGCATTGGCTTTGGGTGAACTGGGTTTCAGTGCTCTACCTAGAACCCCACAGCTGGCCCAGGCTGGGGGCCAGTACTCTGCTCCCGGCCCACACTTGCGCCCTTCCATCCCCAGGTGCCATCGGCTTATCCTGGACCTTCCTGCTCTATGGACTGACCGCTGCTCTCGGCCTGGGCTTCATTTATTTATTTATTCCTGAGACAAAAGGCCTGTCGTTGGCAGAGATAGACCAACAGTTTCAGAAGAGAAGGTACGAGTGGGCAGGGCAGGTCCGGGAGTGGAAGAGGTGGCTCAAACCCCAAATGTACACTTTAGGATTTGAATCCTCAGTCTTGCCTTTTGCCTTTCCTGTCTCTTACTGCCTGGATGCTGTGAGGTTTGTCCTGTTATCATATGCGAGCTGTTTCCTTTGAGTTGTTTTGTGACTTCTTAGAACAGCTTTTCAGGGCCAGCAGGTGGGATGGTGGTTAAGATACTGGACTCCCACATGGCCAAATGTGGTTCAAGTCCCAGACCCAGTGGCTTTGAACTCAAGTCAAGCACATAGGGCCAGCAGGTGGGATGGTGGTTAAGATACTGGACTCCCACATGGCCAAATGTGGTTCAAGTCCCAGACCCAGTGGCTTGAAACTCAAGTCAAGCACATGTGCATGTGTGCCCAAGATCCCGAGAGAAGAATGGAGGAGAAGGGATTGTGGCATAGACATTCTCCCTGGGTGTGTATGTGTGTGTGTGTGATTTCTCACTTTCCCTTTCTCTGTATCCGCCTCTTTCTCTCTCACTCTGGTGAGCGCACATACCCTAAAACAAAACAAAACCCTACACACAAAACCAGATTTCCATTGGACTTGAGGGTCCAGCACACAGGGATTTTAAAATCTCCCATTAGTGGAAGCACGGGAGGTTAGAACAGTGGAATGTTAAAAACACAGAATCTCAGAATCATGGAAACTTGCAGAAACCAAATATTATAACTGTGGCCTTTAAAAGTTGCACGCAAAACTCTTGTGGCTTAACCCATTCAGTCAGTGGATATTTATTGTTTATTGCCGTGCACCAGGCAGTCTGGGGCCTTGGGAAATATAACTGAGATTAAGAATGCAAGGTCATTATCCTCAAGGCACTTCAACTGAGTCGGGGAAGGAGATAGAAAATAAATAATCCAACAAATGCCTAAATAATACATAACTGGAAGAAAATGAAACAGAGTAAAATATGCTAAGCAGGTCAGGCTGGTGAAGAGGGGAACAAAGGAAAAAGAGGATGTAGCTAAGTGAGAGTGGGTGCAATTTCAGTTCGTAAGGAGGCAGCCAGGTAAAGGTGAGGAGAAGCATTGCAGGTAGAGGAGGCTGCTGGTGCGCAGGCCCTGAGGTGGGAGGACAGCGAGGGAGCCAGTGTGGCAGGTACCAGCGAGGGAGGAGGGGCAGGTCAGACCAGCCAAATGGGTCAGAGCTAGATCACATGAGATCTTTAGGTCTCAGGGGGAGTTTTGAATCTTAGCATCACAGGGACAGCCTAAGATCAGGGCAAGAGGAGGAGTGGAATGGGAGCCTTGGAAGGGACCGCAGAATATTATAATCCAAGCATCCTTGGCCAATGTCCCTGGTTACCTCTTCAGTAAGAGGGTAGTCACGAGCTCCGGACTGCCAGTTGTTTCTGGGAGGCCCTAGACAACTTTTTAAAATCATTCTCATATTGCATTGGAACCAGCCTTTCCTCAGCTGCAGGCCAAGCTCCACCCCCATCTGGGCCCTGCAGCCATGCAGGACTGGTCAGTGGTAAATGCCTCTAACCTGGTCCACCCGCCCTCCACCCAGAGTGCTCTCTGCAACCGAACACTCTCTGTTCATTGACTGACTCCTCTGCAGGTCACCAGCACCCCAGCTGTGTTAGTTAGGGAAGGGATCGGGCTGCTTGGAATAGTCCAAATGTCTCTTCAAGCACCAGGCTGGGCTGGGTGCTGTGCTCTGTGAGGTCATCCAGGGTCGCAGGCACCTTCTCTCTCATTGCCCTGCTATTTCCTCAACGTGACCTTGTCCACATGCCCGAGATGGCCACTACCATCCCCTGCAGGAGAGAGGAGGAAGGGAGGGGAGAGCACGATCCTCAAGTTCATGTCCACCCACATCTCTCTGGACAGAACTCAGCTACGCCTATGCACAGGGAGGCTGAGAAACGTCTTTAATGTGGGCAGCCATGTGCCCAAGTGCACGTCAGGAGCCCTGTTCTAGACAGCTGGCCAGAGTCGCTGCCATGCTGGTTCTCTCGGGAGGAGCGCCCAGTCCTCTGAGACAAAGAGCAAAGAAGGCAGAGAGGCCTGCTTCGGGGAAGGCAGGCTGTGACAGTCGCTGAGGGAGTGTCATGCTGGACCAGGGGACTCGGCCACATGAAGGAACAAGAGCGGTCTGCCATGACTCTGGAGAAGACAGGAAGTTTCGAAAGGTCACTCTGGCTGTGATGGGGCGAATGGGCTAGAGGGGACGAAGGTGCACTCCAAGAGGGGGAGTTGCTGGGTGGTCCAGGCAAGAGGAGATGCAGTGCATGGTAAGGCATCAGGGTAGGAATGGGCAAGGGGAGGGGACCCCAGAGGGTAGCCCCTGCTGTGTCCTCGGGGACAGCCTCTGGCCCTGTCACCCTCTGATCTCACTCTTCTCTGTTTGGCAGGTTCGCTCTGAGCTTTGGCTGCCGGCAGATCTCGGCCAGCGTGCAGTACAGCCGCATCGAGGCGGCAGCTCCCTGAGCGGTCCGGCCGCCCGACAGGTGGGAACCGTGGCTTTAGCAGACGGTCTCCAACTTCCTGCTTCTCAGACCCAGAGCACAGGCTCCAGGTGGTCCTTCAGGAGTTGCCGCTGCCCCATGGAGGCTTTTTTTTTTTTTTCCTTCTGAGAGAGGAATGAAAGTCTGAGAAGCCCAACTCTTTAGTCTGAGTCTCAAGCTCTGAGGGTACCTGAGGATCTATCGTCAGGCCTCAGTTTCCCAGTCCACTTTTCACCTTTCTGTGTTTTTTAGGAGAATGTTTTATGGATGCACATTTTCTCAAAGAATGTCCAGGGTGCTAACCCTGGCAGGAAGTCTCTCACCCAGAGCCCAGGCTCCAGGTGGTCCTTCAGGAGTTGCCGCTGCCCCCTGGAGGCTTTTTTTTTTTTTTTTTCCTTCTGAGAGAGGAATGAAAGTCTGAGAAGCCCAACTCTTTAGTCTGAGTCTCAAGCTCTGAGGGTACCTGAGGATCTATCGTCAGGCCTCAGTTTCCCAGTCCACTTTTCACCTTTCTGTGTTTTTTAGGAGAATGTTTTATGGATGCACATTTTCTCAAAGAATGTCCAGGGTGCTAACCCTGGCAGGAAGTCTCTCCTGGCATCCCCTGAATCCAGCTGAGGATACCAGGTTCTATGCCCTCAGTTTCCATCTGCTTGGACTTGGGAAGTCAGCCTTTGGGCTCTTAGGTCTCAGTCTTGTTCAACCCCTCCTTTTCTCATATGTAGAATATCTATCATTCACCAGCTTCTCCAGTTGGTAGGAGGGCAGAGCTTGAGTCCTGATTCTGCTGGTGTCATTGCTGTGTAACTGTGGGCCTCAGCTTGCTCTGTATGGACACTGGGAGGCTTAGGTTGTTAAGATCCCTTCTGATGCAGTGAGCTGGGGCTGCAGATACTGGTCACCCCACACACGCAGCACAGGCCCTGCCCGCTAGCTGCCACATCTCTTTGGGAGTTTTAGTGAGTAGGAAAGTTGGTGGGGTGACGAGTGGTGCACTCTGAAGCCTAGGAGCCGCCTGGGGCTGTGAACTGTACCAGGAGCCGTTTCTGGGTTGCTGCAGCCTCGCTTCGTGAAAGGGGCTTGGTGGCCAGCAAACCCTTTAACGGTGTGGCCTCCACCTCTTGGCTTACCTGGGTATGTAACACTCCCTCAACTTCAGTCTCCTCATCTGCAGAACGGGGACAATTAGGCCCCTCAGGGTCCATTTTACCCCTCAGAAGGGTCTTAAGTTGGTCCCATTCAGTTAGCAAGGACCTGGGGGATTTCTGCTCATCCTTGGTTACCCAGGTCTGCACCTTTGGGATGTCTTAAAAGCTCAGTCCTCTCAGGGTGAGTCAGTTTGGGACTGAGCGAGGAGCTAAAGCTGGAACTCACTTTGGGAAGGATCCATAAGAAGGGATTTGCAGGGACCAGCAGTTAATGTAATGGCTATGCCACTGGACTCCCATGTAGTTCACCGCAGTTTGCATCCTGGACCCAGTGGCTTAAAACTCACGGCAGGCGCGTGTGCGTGCGTGCTCAAGATCCTGAGAGGAGAATAGAGGAGAAGGGATTGCGGCGTGGCCATCCCTCCTGGGGGGTGATTTCTTGCTTTCTGTCTCTCTGTCTCTCTCTGTCTATCTGGCGAGTGCATGCGCCTTATAGCAAAAAAACAAACAAACAAACAAAACAAAAAACAACAAAAAAAAACTCTCCAAAAACAACAACAACAAAAAAAGAATTGTCTGTCCCCAAATCACAAATGTATCTGCATAAGAAAGGCAAATGAAGGGACATTGCCGCCCGCCGCCTGCTTTACCAGTTTCATCTAGGGCATAAACTGACCCTAATCATCCCCTACCTGAGAGAGTTCCTCTAGGTCTCCAGTGTGTTCACTACCCCCGTTTAAATCATGGTTAAAGCAAATTAGAAATGGAAACATCAAGCAAAATTGCTCTAAATTTAGCTCTCATTAGAAATTGATCGTCAGCTGTGATTTCCTTGGGTGTGAAGACTTATAAATTCCAGAACCTTGTTCTTAAGGTAAAGTGATTTCTCATCCCCAAAACATAAGGCACATTTTCCCTCCGGCAAGACAGACCAGAGCCTGTTTCTGTGGAGGCAGGGTGCTCGAGACGGACCCCTCTCCAAACAAAGCTACTCTTACGTGGTGTAGGTCATTGTTTCTGAAATGCAGCTGCCGGACAGTTGGTGGAGTAGATTGTAAGAGCAGATTGACAAAAAAAGAACGTAGAATTTTACACGCCATGCCAACTGCAAGAGGGAAATGTTTGACAAGCAAAGAAATCAGTCCCAAGTCAAATAACTTCACAAAATGTAAACGGGCTGGAACTGCCCGTCAGCCATCGCTCCGCGTACCAGAGCCCTGAACGCTGAGAGGTACCGAAAGCCATAGGCGAGACCGGGCGCACCAAGGCGAATTCCCGTCCTCAACAGCCCTGGACAAGTGCTAACGGCAGCCAGTCCCCTCATTTCCTCAGGGCCTGGGTTGTGCCGAGCTCCACTGCTCCCTGGGTCAGGCTGCAGGCGCTCTTCCATGCTGATTTGCTTGTGCGTCTGCCCTTCAGTTAGAACTAAGCTGCTCCTGCAGCGGACATAGGCCTGGTCCCGCATGAGATGCTTTGATTTAAGAAGACAGGGCGTGCTCTTGACGTCATCAGGATCTACTTTCAGCTGGTTCCTCTTTTTAGCCAAGTGAAATAGTCATGCGCTCACTCATCTGCTGGTTCCAGGCTGCCCAGGCCCTCGCATGGCATCCTACCCACTCTGATCTGAGTGTGTTGCCCCCAAAATCCTGCTGTTGAAATTCCCACCCTCCAGATGATGGCATTAGGAGGTAGGGCCTTTAGGGGCAGATCAGGTCATGAGGGCAGATCCCTCATGAATGGGATTCATGCTCTAATAAAAGAAATCTACAAGAGACCTCTAACCTCTTGGAGAAGGGATTGCGGCATGGCCGCCCCTCCTGGGGGGTGATTTCTCGCTTTCTGTCTCTCTGTCTCTCTCTTGTCTATCTGGCGAGTGCATGCGCCTTATAGCAAAAGCCTGTTCAAAAAAAAAAAAAAAAAAAGAAGGGATTTGCAGATGACAGGAAAGGGAAGAGCTAAGATCTGGGGTGCTGGTGTCACAAGAGGCTTTATCATCCATGCCTGCACTTGTAGGTGCAAAGGGGCCCCTAGGGACTCTGGATCCTGGGGTCTTCCCAGTCCCTAGACTCTCCTTTATATCCAGTGGTGTGCTTGACCTGGCTGGTGAGAGCTGCTTGTTACATTTTCAGACCAGCTAGTGGTTAAATACGGCCATTGTACAAAATTTAATTATTTAGGCTTATAATTAAATTATATTAAAACAAAGACCATTAATAGTCAAAACTAACCACCTCCTAATTACTACACTTTACTCTGACCTGTTCTCAGGAGGGCGTTTACAGGTAGGGTATCTTACAGAGGAGATGGCAGGCATTTTCTCCCCATTCTCAGTTTCAAACTGCCTGGGGTGTATTTGCATCGCAGAGACAAGGCAGTGCTGTAAATCAGGGCTTGCTTTTATTGTTTTGTTGATTGTCTAGAGACTTAAACACACGGGGATAAACTGTTCATAATACACATTCAACTTAAGGATGTGTTGTGTCTGTAGCCAGTTTATCGCGATGCACTGAGAAAGGATGGAATATCCTTCCCGGATTTGAACATGATCATCTAACTCAGCAGACAAGTTGCTCGTATCATTGATAACGGGGTTCTGATGTGCATCTGCGTCTTACTCATCGACGTAAACAGAAACTTCTACCAGCATTCATGCCACACTGACACCCACTCTTTGAAGATGTGAGCGACTCTTTTGCTGAGCCGTTTAGCTATCGGGCATTTTTATCCATAATCCAATTTTTGTCCCATCCTGGCTAAATTGCGGTAACAGTCAGCTTTGGATCCAAGTTTGGCAACAAATCAATGAAAACATTCTGTAAGAATTCATTGCCTATATCAGTGTATAATACAGAGTATTTATAATAAAGAGTTTATTATTATCTGTAAATGATGTGCAAAAAACACATCCTTTGTCTCTGTAACCTTTACACACACACACATTCCCCTGGAGAGCATCTTCCATATTTACCAGCATGCCACTGTCTATGTCTGTCCTGTGGCCCCTTCAGATCAACCCTCTCTCCTTGGGCTCCTTTCCTCTCTCAATCCTCCTTTCCTCACCTGTCGGCCTGGAAGATTGCTCTTCTAGTCTTGGGGCAGCTCTCCCCTTTCTTTATTTGGGTCATAAACTCAGAGATCAGGTAAAGAATAGGTATAAGGAAAGCCAGTATGGTAAGGCAGTAGGGAGTCGTGGGGTCTGTGGAAACTGGCAAATCTGGATCCTCTTTAAACTAGTACCAGCAAGCAGCTGCTATTCGGGATGTGGGCCCAAAGTGGCTCAACCATTTGAATTTTCAAGAACAGCCAGAAATTCAGAATTTGGTGCAAATCTCGATTTTTAAGTATTGACAATTGATTCTAAACTTAAACTACCGGTAAGCTAAATGAGCACCCCTGTGGTTATGTCATGGCCGTTGGCCTGTACCTCCATCCTCAGCCTCTTTCC